CGGAAGGTCTCTTCAATAAATGCTGTTGGGACAATTGGTTGACAGCCTGGAAAAACAAGAAGCTAGACCCACATCTTTCACCATACACTAAGATCAAATCTAAATGGATAAAAGACCTAAACCTACATCCAGAAGCCCTCAAACTTTTGGAAGAAAATGTTGGAAATACTCTGCAAAATTTAGGTATAGGCCCTGACTTCCTAAAAATATCACCAAAAGCAATAGCAATCAAGACCAAAATAAACAAATGGGACTGCATCAAACTAAGAAGCTTCTGAACAGCAAGGGAAACAATCAACAAAGTCAAAACGCAACCACAGAATGGGGGAAGATCGTTGTGCACTACACAGGAGACAAGGGGCTAATCTCCAGAATATACAAAGATCTCCAGAACAACCAAAACATCACAATAAACAAACCACTCAAGAAATGGACACAGGAAATGGGTCCTTTAGAAAGGAACAAATCCAAATGGTAAACAAACATATGTAAAAACCTCAAGCTCCCTGGTAATAAGGGAAATCCAAATAAAAACATCACTGAGGTATGACCTAATGTCAGTAAGGATAGCCCTCATAGGGAAACCACCAACCACACTTGTTGGCGAGGATGCAGAGAAAAGGGAACCAAACTCCACTGCTGGTGAGACTGCAGGCTTGTACAGCCTCTATGGAAGTCAGTATGGAGAACAAACAACTGAAAATATGCATATCATATGACCCAGCACTAGCATTTCTAGGAATATATCCAAAACATCTGTTACATTAGGAACCAACATGCACCCCTATGTTCATAGCAGCACAATCAATAATTACAAGATCATGAAAGCAACTGAAATGCCCATCAACAGAAGACTGGACAAAGCAACTATGTTTCATCTACTCTAATGAAATACTACTCAGCAATTTAAAAAATGAAATGCATTTCTTCATGGCCAAATGGGCCCAACTGGAAACTATTATGCTTAGGGAAATGAACCAATTGCAAAAGATCAGATATCACAGGTTTGCCTTAATATAAGATAATATTATATCAAACCTAGAAATAGTACTTGTGAATTGTAATGCTATCACACCCTTAAACTGTCTGTACCACACAAAATAAGATATTGTTATGTAACCTATGAATCAATAATCAATGAGAAAGGGACTGCATATGATAATTCTGGTAAAAATGGATCTTTTAACACCTAATTTAAAAAATTGGCCTCAAGGAGACTTTAATATTCCTGATGATGAACACTTTTCTACTTTCTCAGATAGGACCTTACAAACACCTATGTAGATACAATAACTGACTGGTATCTGGAACATCCTTAATTCATGGCAAAGGTTATGTCCTTATCTCTGGACTTTTCTGAGGGATTCCCCTAAAAATCTGTGGGTTTCCCTATGACTCTTCTGGCACCAGAGATGCAATAACCACCTTGAATACAACATTACCCCTGGAGAAGACGGAATCCCCAGAGGAACTACATCAAAGAACTGAAAAAACATGATATGCTTTTAATATACTTTTTATTCCATGATAGGGCAGGAGGGCAGAGAAATCTTTCACTTTCCTAGAGTGTGAGAGGAAGACGTTAAGTATAATTTAAAAAGATTGCAGCAGGTGACTTATAGATAAACCACATTAGACATGAGCAAAAATACAGAGATGTTCAGGATGGAGGACCCAAGACAGTATCCTGACAGCCTCTTAATAGGAGGTCATATGCAAAGAGCAGAAGGGGACCCCAGAGTGAAACAAGAGGGTAAGAGGAGGTCTATATCCTAGTCCCAGAGACCCCCAGAAGCCTCTCAAGTGCTTTTGCCACAGAAGCAGTGGTTACATCATCAAAGATTGTTAGTATGGGCACAAAGGACCATATCCTTCCTGCCAAGAAGATCACAGAGAATTTGAATGCCCTCCTAGGCTGAGAACTCTGAGGTCAGCCAGTTTCTATCAGATCTCCCACATGGGATTGAAACATCCCAGAACCCTCCTCATAGAGTCTGATGACATTGGAACAACAGACAGGAGCCCAGGAGGTCCTCAGAGATAGAAGAATTGCAAATTTCCTTCTGGACTCAGGAGAGGAGATTTCTCTGGTAATTACTTAGCTTTAAACTTGGCTCCCCACCCTCTCTGGCAGTGACAATCAGGTTTGCTCAGGAGCCCAAAATCAGACAGAGAGAGAATAATATGTATAAAGATTTGGACAGGAAAAATTCAGCGGACTTATAATTGCTCAGCCTGTACCTTACTGGTCAGGTTCCCAACTTGGCTTTTCCTAGAAATCACTTGGTAGGATGCAGAGTTCAGTTATTCCTCACTAGCTAAGATATTGGAGATTTCTCTGTGCACCTGCTTAAGACTATTCTATTCCTCAATTGTTAATATATGGCTTGTTAGAATTATAAATCTATTTTGATTATCCTAAAATGCATGAAGTTTTGTAAAATCTATTTTGAATACTATAAACTGCTAAACATAACTATAATCATAAAAAAGGTAATAGCACTCACCAAAACCAAAGGCAAATGTGAATATCATCGCAGTGAAATATCAACAGAAGTCTAAATCAAACAATGAACAACCCTAAAATGACAGGGCCAAAATACCACCTATTTATACTAACCCTGAATGTAAATGGCTTAAACTCATCAATCCAATGTCACAAATTAGTAACCGGATTAAAATACAAAACCCATCTATCTGTTGCCTACAGGTGACATAACACACCAACAAACATCAACAGAAACTGTATCTCATGGACATTGATGTTTTTGCTTTTATTTTCATTTTCTCAAAGCAGTTTTTTTCTCATGAAATTCTTCAATGACTCATAAGTCATACCATTTCTTCAAGAAGGTTTTTGATATCCTTCTTTGTGGTTTCAGTTACGTAATAGTAACTCAGTAGCAAGTTGTTTAACTCATTGTACTGTAAATTTCTGTTTTTCTTCCTGTTGTTGATTTTGTATTATGGCTTTTTGTCTAAGGGGATGTATAGTAACTGTATAATGGAGATTATCATATCCAGATGTGATATCCAATATGCATCTGTACATCCAGATCAAAGATGGATTCCCAAAGATGGAAACCATTAACTATACCTTGACAATAGGGTGCTGGATTCTCTGTCATTGTCCATGCCTGCAATGCTGGATTTATGATTGTTTTTGAAGAACTATACTACTGTATTAATATAAGGGAAATCAGTGGAGGGAATGAACATTTAGGAAGGGAGTAAGGGAAATCCCAAAACCTGTGGAACTGTATCATGAAATTAAAAAAAATAAAAGGCTGTTAACCTGAATGTGTCCTGAGTTAGTGGAAAAGTCAGTCTAGGCTAAGCACCATATCTACTGGTGAATACATGAACCAGAGTAAGTGCAGGCTGCTCAGGCTTTGCTGCAACATCAGCTGGCAAGTGCTGGGATGGGGGGCAAGTCCTGTCAGGCTAGACTGCAGAACCACTTGGAGAGTGCAAGATCCACAAATGGGAGTGGACTTTGTAGTGAAATTGTAGCCAAATCTCTGATGGGCTATATCGCCCACTAGTGAGCAAGAGAAGCAGAACTAGTGGTGGGCCTGGCGGGGCAAGGGATAGTACCTGACAGCATGAATGTGGGTTGGATAGTGGGCTTGGTAAAGCTGAGCTAGACTACAACATCCACTGCTGTGTATAAAAGTGAACTAAGATGCAGACAGACTGCACCCGTTGGCTACACGTACTGGCATGTGTATAAGCTGAGGCTGGGAGTGGGCTGGTGGAGTTACTGAGGATCACAGTTGCCCCTGGTGCATATGAAGGCTGAGTGTGTGGTGGGCTGGGTTGGGCTAGACCACAAAATCCATTGGTTTGAATATGAGGTAGGATAGGGGTCTGAACTGACCCAGCACCTGCCAGCACAAGTGTGTGTGGAAGGTAATGAGGGTGACAGACTGAGCCAGACCCCACATTGGATGGTACACACAGGAGCCAGGTCATGGGTCATCTCTCTAAAGTTTCCTTGGTGTCCCCTTCCACAACTGGGCTGCTGGTCTCAAAACCCCAACCCTTCCTCTTGGGGAAAGCAGCAGAGAATCACCCTAGGTCTTGGGTCCCTACAGCCATGTGGAGACCCAGAAAAAGCTCCTAGCTCTTCCCTTTGGGTCGGCTCAGCTCTGGCCGACTCACTTGTAGCTATTGGGGTGTGAACCAGCAGATGGAAGGCTTTCTGCATCTCTCCTTTGCTCTCTGCAAAACCTGTCTTTCAAATGAAAATAAATAAATCTTTGAAAAAAATACTGGAAGGCATGTATGTATCCGATAGATGATTAATATCCAGAATATATAAGAAACACAAGATACTCAGTAAGTCAAACATTTCACTTAAGAATTGAGCTAAGAATATGAGTATGATTTTACCAAAATTGAAATACAAATGACTAACAGACATATGAAATGGTGCTCAGAATCACTAGTCATTAGCGAAATGCAACTTAAAACACAACAAGAATTCACTTCACATCAGTTCAAATGGACATTATCCAAAAACCAACACACAACAAAAGTTGGCAAGGCTGTGGTGATAGGCTGATACACTGTTGGTGGTAATGTGAACTTCTGCAAACACTGTGCAGTGCATTTGGGAGATTCCTCAGAGATTTGAAAATAAGTCTACAATATGACCTACTCATGCCAGGCTTGGGAATTTATCAAAACAAAATTATATCAACATACTATAGAGATTAGTACATCTATGTTTATTGCAGGTCAATTCACAATAAAAGTTATGGAATCAACCCAGATGCTTTTTTCATGTCTGTGAACAGAACAAATGATTCATAACAACAAATTACATTATCCAGGTCACATATAAAAACACTCTTATTTGGTCGTAGCCTCCTAAAATCAGAAAAAGCAGAGAGTATGAAGCATAAATTAAAGTACATCACATGAGCTTATCAAGGATTTCTAAAATCAGTATGTGCAGCATGTGATCAACAGGCCAAAAGAAAGTGAGATGACACCTGTCTGAAAGACGGCCAAGTATCAGGCTTCCCAGCAGTGACCCACTCATAAAGAGGGTTTGGACCACTGATTTTTGGGACTGATAATCACACACCAGGTCCCACTGGAAGAGGAAAGCAACCCAGTGGAAGTTTAGGAGAATTTAATCCCTTTTGTTCAACCTGATGACAAATTCTTACATATGACACATGGCCTCCTGCTATGGGGCTGCTCCCTCTCCAGCTTCACCTGCCATCACTCTCCTCGGGCTGCCCACACTCCAGAACTACTGAACCTACTCAGCTTTTGCCACGCGACTGCCTCACTCACCCCAAGCCATTCAGGCAATCTGCTGCCATGTGTCTGTAGTCTTTCTTCTCTTATATCACAAAATCCTTACTGTGTTACTGTCAGCACCTTAGAAAGAAACTATAATTTATACTGTTAATACCCTTAGCTTTTGTTTTCTAATTTTTGACTTCAGAATAATCTATATAAACTAAAAGTTTGGAATTATACCAAGTGTTCAAAAAGAGCCCACACTCAGATTTCACTATTATAAATTCCATAGATATTTTCCTTTATCCATTACCCAATGCAAATTTCTCCTATCTTGCTAAAATCAAAGTTCGCTTCCTCTGTCTCCCCATCTCTCCAAGTATGTAGCAAGCATGTTCATTTTATGTTCATCACTATGTTCACGATGAAAGGGGGCTCTGGCCCTGAGAAGTACTTAGCTGGGCACTGAAGGAACAATGATTTTTAAATTAATTTTGCAGTAAAGACCTAATCTTTCTTTTTAAAATGGATTTCCGGTGTCTTCTTTCAATTAACTTGATGTCCCTCATTCCACTCATTTGGATGGTAATGGTAGGACTTCAATCTTATAAAATAACGGAATGGAATTCTATTGTGTACATAACATTTTCTTTTCTAAAAAACATTAATTTATTTTGCCTTTGAAAGGCAAGTTATAGAGTTAAGGAGACAGATACACACAGAAAAAGAGCTTCCATCCACTGGTCACTCCATAAATGGCCCACTACAACTTGGACTGTTATAGTTCCAAAGCCAGGAGTTGGAGATTACTGGAGACCCCCATATGGGTGCCAGGACTTAAGGACATGAAGTATTAGCAGGAACATCACAAGTGCATGAACAGGGACTAATTCTGACAGGAGAGATGCTGATGCTCATTCAGGATTTCATCTTTCCAGAATACTTTTTTAACTCACTGAAATATGAAGATGGGCTCATATATTTTCATCATTAATTCATGTGCTGATGACAACCTTTCCTGATATTATATCTTGGCTACTGTGAACAGCAATAACCACGAAGGAAAAGGAATCACGGAATTATTCCACATCATTTGGATGAATACTCAATCACGAGTTTAGTAGGTTATATGGCAGTTCATCACCTGGTTTTCCAATGTCTGTACTATTTTTGATTTACATTCTCAGCAAGAAAAGAGTTCTGAGAAGAGAACTCAGAAGAGCTCTGTTTCATCTACTTACAGGTAGCCATTGCTATACTTTTTTTGAGACAGAGGTGATACCTCATTGTGGCTTGATTTTCATTCATTTCTGGAGTGCTGTTGTACTGAGCATTTACCCACCTATCAGTTGGTCTTTGTCACTGATTCCATGTTGAGTCAGCTGAAGAGATTCAACAACAGTGATGCCCTGATCCTATGCCCAGATGTTTTGATTCACTTGCTGTGTGTCAGTTTTGAAGTAAGTACCGAATGGCACCAATTTAGAATAATATGTGCCTAGTGTTACCTCAGTCACTTGTAACAGTGATCATCACTAATGATGACATGTGGTGGTAGGTTATGTTTAGTTTGCTCAATTCAACAAACTCAAAAATATAATCAAACACCTGTGATGATATTGTGGTATAGATGTTCAATAACTAACCTCTAAAGCAATGGGTACTACATACCCTTCTGAAGACACAGTGGGTAAGAGAAGTCCCAGTCCATTTTTACTTTTCACTCCAACACTTTCAGTTCTTATCACATCTCTATAGAGAGATCTATATTAAAACACGTTCACTTCTCTAAAGTGAACAGATCACTTCTCTAAAGAGGTTCACAAGAAGACTCTTACCTCTGTCACAATGGTGGAGAGGAAGTAGCTTTGGTCATACACCCAGCCATCCACACAGGGCTCTGTGTCTGACTCACTTATGTTGGGGAAGGTCCCATTCAGGTGAAGGAGCTGCCACTGGGGATGGATGAAGCGACGACACTTCTCTGGCTTCAGGTTTGAGTCGAGGGGGATGGAGACTCTCAGGAGATCATCCTGGCTGAGGATGCCAGTGTCATTGTGGGAGACAGTGTGATTGTCAAGGAGAGGGACCCAGCAGCGATGCTCAGGAGTGGCTGCAATGAAGTTTTCCAGGAGCATATGAGGGAATGCTATCATGTTGACAACAAAAAAGAAAGCAATCTGAAGGATCTGGAATCTTCCCAGAGTTCCAGCTTGATCCAGGAGCTCATTAAAGGCCATTGAGGCTGAAGGGCTTGTCTCCAAGAGGAAGCACAGCTGTTTTATGGAGAGAAGTTCAGAGGAGACAATGATTCCTTTCCCCAAGTTCACTGACACTGTGTAGACCTTGACTCCACTTTCTCCACGGCAGGCCCCTTCTCACACCTGCATAAGAGCAGAGATTAGAGTTTCTCCCAATTTTTTTTTTAGGTTTAGGCAGCTGCTAGGTTGAAAATTGAGGCACAGATGCAACAATTTGGCAAAGAGATCTGCACTTGTTAACAAGATGCTAGACAAAGTACTTCTCTGAATGAATCTAATCCTGGGCTTCATGAGACTTGTGTGAACTTGTTTCAATTGGATGGGTTAATATATGCATGCCCATAGATCTGTCTTTTTCTGAAAAGAGATTCATTTGTGTCTTCTACAATCCTTACAACATGTGGGGGGGTCAATCGTCATGGCCTTAAGGATAATGCTCTGTGGGAGATGGGTGTGACACATTATTCCTCCTTTGGCAAACAAAAGTATCTTCATGTCACTGTGGATACTTATTCTGTATTCATCATGGCCACCCCTTCAATGGGGGAAGAGTGTCCTCAAGGTTTTGGCCCACGTCTCATCATGTGTGTGTATTTTTAAATAATGGACCTGCCTCGTTCCATTAAAACTGACAATGGCCCCACTTACACCTTTAAAGGATTTGATGACTTTTGCTCAAAGTTTGCCATTCATCATGTCTGAGACCTCACCAACAATCCTCAAGGCCAGGGTATAGTTGAAAGAAAACATCAAGACCTTACAAAACAAGCCTCAAAAGCAGAGGGGGGAGGCTGGAATATACTACCCACCCCCATGAACATGTTAATTTGGCTTTGATCACTTTATATTTTCTTCATATTTCTTCTTTAAGTGAGCTAGCTGTCAGTGTGCATCACACTGTGTCCCAACACAAATGCTTTTAGCTCTATGGAAGGACCCAGCCACTCCACTGGAAAGGCCCTGACCCCTTGCTAACTATGGGAAGAGGGTTTGCCTGAATTTGGCCTGGACCTAAGCCACAACCTCTGTGTCTTGCCTGCCTACAATGTCAAGCCCTAGACCCCCAATGAAGGATGCCTCTCCAATCTGGTCCTGAATGAATCACCATCAAGGAGACACCTGAAAAGGAAGAGGCCAGCCCTCTCCCCACACTGAGTAACATAGAAGATCTTAAGGGGTTTGTGAATCAGGTCCAGTAAATGTCCCCAACCCCAAATCCCACTAGGCCCCTTCTGATGGTGTGGTTGTGTGCAGCATTAATGACCAACAGTCAAGAGGCAAATTCACACGTATTTTGGGCCTCTGTTCCTGGTCTCCATGTTTTAGCTGGAGCTTTCCTGTCAGGAGCCAGGCCACATCACACCATTTTACTATAACTCCAATGTTTATGAATCTTATGGTCCTATTGATCCCAAGCCCCAAAGACCCCCCAAACAACTGACTTTAACAAAGAGAAGCCAGTAAGCTCAAGGCAGTACTTCAGATACCTAATGATTTTGTCTTCTACTAGAGACCCTAGATCCACCTTCCTGAAGACTATCTGGCTGCTCCCACCCACTTCTCAGCATGAAGCAGACAGAGTGGTTATCACCCTCTGGCCATAACAGCAACTTTGGTCCATTCTTCTAAGGGAGGGAATGTGAGGAGTCAGATGGGATAATAGGGAGTTAGGGTCTCTGGTCCCTGGTGAAGTTACCTTTGTAAAAATGTTACTTCATTCTCTTTATAGTGTGTGGCCTCCTTGTCCCCATAGGTGATTCAAAGAGACCACTTGTGCATTTGAAATCACACACTGTTTACTAATGTTAGTGATGTTTCCATTTTGTATCTCACCACTTGTGTTATATGCCTTGTAGGGAGTCTGCAGCCCACGCCCTACGAGGGCGCCGAACTGCTGCTTCCTCCTGTGGTAGAAAAACAAGTTTCAGGACGTCTGCTATGATTGGCCCAAGGGTGCGTGGATGGCTCATGGACAGAGTGTGATCTGTGTGAGGATTGGCCTGCCTGCTGCATGCAGAGGTGACCTTTACGTTGATTGGCCGTGTTACCCAATATAAGGGAGCCAGAGAAACGGGAAGGTGAGAGAGCACCTCACTATGCTGTGGCTGCTGCATGGCTGCACAGCGGCTGCTGTGCTGCCACTGTGCGCCAGTTATGCTGTGTCTTCTCTGCAATAAAGGTTCTACAAGGACAACGAGTGTCTGGGTTTGACTTGCTGGCCAAGGGACCCTGACAATGCCTTAATATGTCTTTTGAAATCTTTATAACAAGAACTGTGCCAGCACTGTGGATTGCAATCCAGCTAAATGGTGAGTGGAGGGGATCCGGGGAATAAGCACATTACAAGGATTGTCTTTTCCATTCTACACACAACACACACTTGGCCTCATCATCACTTCTGCTGTTTCCCTTGTGACCACAGTGGCTGTCGCTGCAATATCTGTGCTATTCTTGACTCAGACTATTCAGACTACAAAAACTGTAAATAATATAAACATGCTAACCACCTATGCTCCTGGAATGCAAAACTAGGCCAATTTATAGACTCACCATCCTAGCTCTCCAACAGAAATTGGACTTGCATCAAGGACAATTAATACTAATGTTGTAACAAGCACTGTCTGCAATTTAGTGCAATAACAGATGGTGTTCTTGTGTTGAATTTTGTCCTCCAGGGTCTGTTCCTACATCGTAGGGTCACAGAACAATGGCTGCCCTTTCAGTGGAAGTTTTGGTGGCAGAATTCACTCCAAGAGAAGAGGGGGGCGATGTGGGAGATCACCCCTGGGTCTTTGCCTGCTTGGCCTATGTGGGAGGTCACAAGCATACAATGAGTTTTTTTTTTTATTGTTATTAACATTGTATTATGTGATACAGTTTTATAGGCACTGGGGATTCCCCTCACCCTTCCCACAACCCTCCCCCCATGGTGGATTCCTCCACCTTGCTGCATAACCACAGTTCAAGTTCAGTTGAGATTCCTTCCTTGCAAGCATATACCTAGCATAAAGTCCAGCGTCTTATTGTCCAGATAAGTTCAGTGGCCTCTTGGGGAGACCTTCTCTGGTCTGAAGGTAGAGCTAACAGAGTAAAGTTCCGGTCAGTTAAGAGCCCCAACAAAACCTCAGTATCAATATACAACATTATGGAATTAATTGACATAGTATTGGGTAAACAATATGTTAAAAATAATGCAAGTTCCATTCTTCGAAACATCTGGGTTGAGACAGTATCAATGACAGGTTCAAAAAATAACCAACAACCAAACAAAAATTACAAGTTAAATCAAGGCAAACATGTGGTATCTAACCTTTTGGGATTCGCTCATTTCCCTTAGCATTATAGTTTCCAGTTGGGCCCATTTAGCCACAAAGAACTGCATTTTGTTTTTTTTAATAGCTGAGTAGTATTCCATGGAGTAGATGAACCAAAGCTTTCTTATCCAATCTTCTGCTGATGGGCATTTCGGTTGCTTCCATGTTTTTGCAATTACTGATTGTGCTGCTATGAACATAGGGATGCATGTTGGTTTGTCGTGAAACAGGTGTTTTGGATATATTCCTAGGAGTGCAATTGCTGGGTCATATGGTATGCAGATTTTGAGTTGTTTGAGTGTTCTCCAGACTGATTTCCATAAAGGTTGTACCAATCTGCAGCTCCAGCAACAGTGGAGTAGGGTACCCTTTTCCCCGCATCCTCGCCAGCAAGCATCGTTGGTGCTCTTATTTATGTTCTATGTTTTTTTAATCTATGTTTTCTGAGTCATATTCAGATTGTTGGAAACACATAGTCCATGTTACTCATCAGTCTGTTGCCTCCAATTCCCAAAGCTTTGTGTTTCTATACATTTTTTCTTATAACATGTTCAAAATGTGGGTAATAAAGTCAACTACTTCTGATTTTTCAAAATTAGGATAACTATGTTACTACATGCAAACATTTGACTTCATATAAATATTGAAATTGTCTTATTAAGAGTATAGAAAACACATATATACATACATGGTAAGTAACTATCGTATGAAGAGCATCCATTTAGTTATCATCCTAATTACAAAATGTGACATGGCAGTAACAAAGAAAACATTCGTGTGACTATACAGAATATCATCTGTTCCTGTCCTTGTGTGAATAACAGCTTTCTCTTTTGCATTATTCATTTTCAGACAAATAATTTAGTTCCATTTATAATTCCTTTACTTTAGGACAAATAAGCGTGTGGTGAAAATCAAAATATGTTCATGAAGTTACATGCCAAGACTAACCATAATCTTGTTAACATGCAGATCAATTTCAGAGACCCAGAAAAAAATGGAGCATTTTTCTTGGCCATCACTCTTGCCATATTAATATCAGTTGGAATTCATTTTTCTCTTGTAGAACATAACACAAATGGATATTGTGGACATTGTTTCCATTTGTCACTTTTCCATATGATGTATAAGAAATAAGCCATATTTTTGTTTGTATCAGTATTATTTCCTTCGTGACCTGTGTTAGCCTTATAGGCTATGGGTATTGAGTATTTGTTTCCTGCTTTATTTGGTGCATTTATTTTAATAGATTTTTTTTGGAATATTTGATCTATTTCTACTTAGATTTTTTTTTTCTCAAATATACAGCTTCTCTGAGCATGCATATAGAAAATGTTTGAGGGACACATAACTTTTATCTGTTTGGCAACATTTCTTTACAATAGGTCATATGGTAAGTATAATTTTGACTTCGCAGGAAACATATTTCAAAGCTGTCATATCATTTTATACATGCACTAACCATATATTGGAACTTAAGCTGCTCTATGTGAATATCAATAGTAAACTCTAGATGCAACTAGTAGATATAAATTAGTATGGTTCCATTTTAATTTTCTTTGGTTAATGATTTTTAGCACTTTAAAATTATAATTAACTCTATTTTTTGCAGAGTGACTGTGACAGTCTTAAAAAAAAAAACTAATCTTAATGGCACCAAACCAG